TTTGACAAAGAAGCAAACAACATAAAATGGAAAAAAAGGAAGAATATTTAACAAATGGTGCTGGCATAATGGGATATCAACACGTAGAAGAATGAAAATAGATCCAAATCTATCACCATGCACAAAACTCAAGTCCAAATGGATCAAAGACCTCAACATGAATCCAGCCACATTGAATCTCATAGAAGAGAAAGTGAAAAGTAAATCTTGAATTCACTGGCACAGGAGACCGCTTCCTAAATATAACCCCAGTAGCACAGACACTGAGAGAAACAATAAATGGGACCTCCTGAAACTGAAAACCTTCTATAAAGCAAAGGACATGGTCAACAAGACAAAATGGCAGCCTATAGAATGGGAAAAGATCTTCACCAACTCCACATCAGGTAGGTCTGATCTCCAAAATATACAAAGAACTCAAGAAATTGGTCATCAAAAGAACAAGTAACCCAATTTAAAAAAATGGCATACAGACCTAAACAGAGAACTCTCAACAGAGGAATCTAAAATAGCTAAAAGACACTTAAGGAAATGCTCAGTGTTCTTAGTCATCAGGGAAATGCAAAGCAAAACAGCTCTGAGATTCCATTTTATACCTGTGAGAATGGTCAAGATCAAAAACACTGATGACAACTTATGCTGGAGAGATCGTGGGGTAAAGGGAACACTCCTGCATTGCTGGTGGGAATGCAAACTGGTACAGCCCCTTTGGATGTCAGTGTGGTGATTTCTCAGAAAATTAGGAAACAACCTTCCTCAGGACCCAGCAATACCACTTTTGGGTATATATCCAAAGGATGTTCAATCGTGCCACAAGGACATGTGCTCAACTATGTTCATAGCAGCATTGTTTGTCACAGCCAAAACCTGGAAACAACCTAAATGCCCCTCAACCAAAGAATGGATATGGAAAGTGTAGTACATTTACACAATGGAGTACTACATAGCAGAAAAAAAAATGTCATCTTGAAATTTGCAGGCAAATGGATGGAGCTAGAAAACATCATATTGAGTGAGGTAGCCTAGACCCAGAAAGACAATTATCACATGTATTCACTCATAAGTGGTTTTTAAACGTAAAACAAAGAAAACCAGCCTACAAATCACAATCTCAGAGAACCTAGACAAAAATGAGGACCCTAAGAGAGGCATTCATGGATCTACATGGGAAGTAGAAAAAGACAAGATCTCCTGAGTAAATTGGGAGCATGAGGACCATGGGAGAGGGTTGAAGGGGAGGGGAAAGGCAGGGAGGAGGGGAGCAGAGAAAAATTTATAGATCAATAAAATCAATTTTAAAAAAAGACAGAAAAACTCCAATGCAGGAAAAAAATTCTTCATACACCCAAAATGCTGAGAATTGGGTCAAAGGAAATATGGCCTCCATCTTTCATTTAGCAATCTGCATGAAATCTGCTTTCAAAAGATGTCCGTGAAACTTATGAGAACCAGTTGAGTACTGAAGTTCCATCCACAGCGAGCCAGTTGAATAAGATGTCGAATGGACAAGAAGCATCCAGGAGGAGATCAGGAAAGACACTGACATCAAATAACTTAGCTCCAGTTTTTCTGTATATTGAAAATGTAATTGTTCACCCTTTTCTGAGAATATTATAATGATGTGTTAAGTTCTATTTTAAACACCATTATTTCTGGAATGAGGACATATTTCTCTCGTGTAAAGCAATGCTGGTAGCAGATAATAATTGGCTCTTTAATTGTGCATGTCTGAGTACCCTGTTTTATTTGGTTGCCTTCATTTGATTGGTAGAAGCTGGTTCTTGAGATATAAAATCTACTAGAGAAAATAAAACTTCAAAAGACATTAGGACTACTAGATAAAATACAGGCTATTTGATGGATGAAGCTATGACTCTATGGTTGAGAGCATAAATGCTCTTGCAGTGGACCCAGGTTCAGATCCCAGCATCTACATGGTAAGGCACAATCATCCATAGTTAAAGGTCCAGGGGATTCAATACTCTCTTTTGATCTCTAAGGGCACCTGGCAGGCATGTGATGCACATACATACATGCAAGGAAAACTCTCATACACATAAAATAGATAAATATTTTTAAAGAAAATATAGGACATTCAGCTAAGTTTTACTGTCTTTGATGTGGTTATGATTTGATTTAATTTAATTTAAAAATATTTAATCAGGTTGTGAAATTATATATATATTTAAAGCTTATCATATTATAATTTAATATATATGGTATGATTATCATAGTTACGTTAATATACCCATCACTAGTCATAGTTACCACTTTGTATGTGTGCATGTGTGTGCGTGCATGCATGCACACTAAGGACATAAAATCTAATCTCATCAAGTGGCAAGTGTTCAATGCATTGCTGTTACCTACAGCCATGATGCTGTTTGTGGGGGAATCAGAACCTTGTCCTCTCATACGTTAAAGCTTTACATTCTTTTACTGGCATCTCCTTTCTCACAGCCCAGTGCCTTCAACTTTTCAGATTGTGTATATAAATGCAATCATACAGCATTTGTCTTTTACTCTAAAGCCCATAATTGCAACCATATGGGAACAAATTGTATGGTTTCTTTCTTTTGCGTGCTGAACACTACTCCACAATGAGAGTGTACCCTACTTTTGTTTATTCATTCATCTGACAGTGGACACTGGTACCTCTGTCTCTAGGCTACTGTGAAACGAAGCTCTTAGTTCTTTAAGCTCTAGACCTACGAGAGGGATGGCTGCATTCACACAGTACCCTGTCGTATCAGCATCAGCAGAGCTCAGGGTGTGACTTTCCCTATACCTCTACCAGGACTCTGTTTTCTGTCTCGTTTCCAATAGCTATAGTGTGGGTGTGGTGCGGTGCCTCATTGTGGTTTTCCTTGCACTTGTATGTCCTCAATAACTGCTGATAGTAATCATTAAGTGCTCATTGGCCAGTAGACTATCTTCTTTAGAGAAATGTCAGTCCACACCATTTGCCTTAAACATGAACTTCAGATAAACAATAAGTACTTGTCCTGGTCTATACTTGCATCATGCAATATGGAGACTATATGGACTCTGAAAAACATTGTTCATCTGAAATTTAGTTTTAACTGGATGCACTCTTTTTGTTTGATAGACATGGGGAAAAATAACAGAATGACAAAAAGTGAAGACTTGGATGGATCTGAAACAGTCTTTATATATTTCACAGTTTTGCTGTGAAATAGTTTGGTATATTTTGTAGAGGGTTTTGCTGGTGTTCCTGCTTTATTAAAAAATTATAATTTCATTTCAAGATCCTCCAGACAAAATCATTTGAGCTTCACAGTCTTTGTGCAACGTTATTGGACTCACTTAATGAAATTATAACTCAAGCAAGGTATTTCATTCTTTTTGAGTAAATGAGCTTGGGCGATGAGAACTCGGGGGGAGCAATGCCTTTGCTGTGTCGATCCTTCGTGTTTGGTAGAATGAAGGAGAAGCAGGCACTTCATATTAGAGTTATTTATTGTTCTCTTTGTGTGAACACTATATTGGTGCCTGTCTCTACTGGAAACAACAGCTGTTAACAGGCTCTGAGATGAATTTCAATGTGATCTCCCCTGGCCTCTGGAAAGCTTGGCTAAAAAGAAAATAGGCTCAGCCTTGGAAGAAAAGAGCATGTTCCATCCTGAGTCTGGTCGCCTGAAGGCTAAGGGCAGTTAAAGCCACCAGTGAGCGTTTCATGGGTATCTGCCCTTAGATCAAGGTACAAGTGCAAATGGGAATACGGGTACAGGCAGGCCACCTCTGTAATAACAGCAAGAGGCAAGAGGCAATGTAGAACACAGTGACCCCCACTAAAACATCCTGCCCTCGAGTGGGAAAGACTGTAGAGGAGAAGGAAAGACCCCTGCACAGCACAGCAGCCAAGTCCTTCATGGCCAGTGCCCCAACCAGCTTAAGAGAAGATCAGCAATAGCTCTAATGCTGTATCACAGCAAACAAGTGATGGTAGTCCTTTCATCTGTGGTCCAGATTCATAACAAAACAGACACAAAGAGAGTGGGGATCCCAGGAGTCCCCTGCACTGAGGCTCTGGCAGTAGAGAGCAGGTGCTGTATGAGCAGACACTCGCAGTTTCTGCGGTATAGTTTGCTCAGTGGAATCTTCTAAAATAAGGAATTTTGACTTGTTTAAATACTTATTTTAAAATGTGTTTTCCAATGACACGTCCCACCTAGAATTCCTTCACCTCTCTGTTTAAGAGAAGAATTGCCAGTTGGGCATATTAGTGCACAGAAGTAATTCTAGTCTCTGGGAGGCTGAGATTGGAAAATATCGAGCTCAAGGCCAGCCTAGGCTACAGAGTGAAATAAACATCAACCAGGACAAGAGGGATGAAGAAAGCCAGCTATTCCTGGGTCCTTGGAATTCCATCAGTGTCAATGACATTTGAGCATCCCCAGGATGGTTCAGGACCTCTACCTAACTCTGGCCTAATCCTCACCTCTAGTACTTCTACTAATATACCCACTAAGTGACATGACCCTTGTGTGCATGTATGTGTTTCTAACTTTCTACTATTTTTACCTCATGTATATCATTCAAGAGCTTAGAGCAAATGTTACACAAGTGGGGGAGCTGGGAAAATCCTTTGCGTGACAATTCTCTCTTAATTCTGAAATTATTTAACTTTCTAAAACGTTCCACGATAAGTATTAGCCCACCCACCTGTGAATAGATGAAAGGTTCTTCTCCTGAATGCAATTAAAGTTTTCAAGGATGTGGAACAAGAGCGTAGAAGGTACCAAAAACAAATAAAGAAGGGAAGAAAGATGGAAATCATATGGTTTTAAAATGAATGGAGAGAGGAATTTGATAAAATGTTGTCAAATATCCAATAAAAGATGGAGCCAGAAAGACGAGCCATGATTATCTTTCCTCCTCCCTCGTCCAATCTTTTGGTAATCAGAACATATGAAAGTATTGAGTTTTCTTGAAACTCCGATGTCAAAAGTACATTTTCCTCTTCTTTCTCTTTCCAGACAAAGTAAGCATATTGTCAACCTTCCTCGCTCCCTTCAAGTACCTAAGTCCTGGAACCACAAACACGGAGGATGAAGACAGTCTAAGTAAGCAACCCCACTTCTCTTGTAGAATGGTCCTCACTCAATGTGTATGGGGGTGGGATTGTCTTTCTTGGTTGCCTTGTAGCCATGGAAAGGGGACTGGCTGATCTTATCCAGTAGAGGAGACCCTGCTCCCAACTTCAGCAGATCCATCTTCTTCCATAGTTACATCCTTACCCATAGTTCCATCCTCACCTGTGGCCCCACACTCTCCCTATTCCCATAGTTACTAGGAAACTATCGTCACCTGAAGAATGGAGTCCTTACACAGAGTTTAGTCCTCATCTGAAATTCATCTTCAGGACCAAACTCACACAAATATTTATTCTCACCCACAGCCTTGTGCCCACATGTAATCCCATCGTTAACACTGTACCAGCATTACCTGCAACCCACCCTGACCATCAGGTCACCCCACCTATCGGACCAAATTTACACATTCTTCATGGCAGTATCAATTATACCTAGGATCCTTCCTAATCTGCATCCATCCTCACCTTCAGGACCAAATTCACGCAGAGTCCTATCCTCACCCATAGTCTCATATTCCCCTGGAATACCGTCTTCCCTTGTTGACTATAGTCCCTCATCCCTATGGTTGAATGTGCACCAGAAGTTCTGTCCTCATTTGGATTCCCACTCTCAGTGGAAGTTCTACCCTTAAACTAAAGCCCCATCTCCCCTTGCAGCCCCATCTTTACCAGCTACCCCATTCTCATCCACAGTTGGTGTGTGTGCAGCCTCATTCCTGTCCAGACCGTCTTATGTCACCTACCTACTTACCAACACCAGGAAATCTACCCTTACCTAAAGCCCCAGTCTTATCTAACATCCTGACCTCATTTGGAATTCTGTGCTCACCTGGAGCCCCATCATCATCTTAAAGATAAGAAAATATCAGTAATGTGTGGCCAAGAGCCCCAGACAGTGTGGGAAATGAACTCGTTTTCTTAGACAATCCTCTTCTTCCTTTTCTTCATTCTCCTAACTATAGAAAAAATTTGAATGATTGCAAAATGGACTTTACAGTTCTTTAACAATAAAAACGATAAATAGGGGTTTTCTATTGAAACATTTCGAGGGCATGAAGCTAGAGAAGACACGGCGGCAGCAGCATTAGGTGTCTGATATTGAGGTTGGTTTAGGGAAGGGGTCATATTCATCTCTTAGATCAAAAGGGAGAGCTCAGAATAGAAACTGAGAAAGAGAGGAAAGAAGGGGAGAAAAGAGAAGAGACAAGGATGAAAGAATGGAGAGGAGAAGAGAGGAGAGGAGAGGGGAGGGGAGGGGAGGGGAGAATTCTGGGGAGAGGAGAGAGGAGGGGAAGGGAGAAGAGGGGAGAATTCTGGGAGTGTTTGGCTTGCCCTGTGCTCTTCTCTTACCTGTGGTATATTGTCACGCATTTAAAAAGGAGTCCAAACATCCCACACGAACACCTCTCTGTGTCTTAACACCACCTAACAGATGGGCTTCTTTTACAACTAAAATGAGCTAAGAACGTGCTTGTCGTGGAGTGTGAAGGAAGCAAGGTGCTATTGGTGGTTGGTTGCTAAGCTAATTGGCTGAATCAAGCAAAACCACTAGCGGAGATTTCCATGGGAATGTTGTCTGTGTTACCATCAGCCTCTAAGAATCACAGCAGATCACTGTGGGCATCCTCTCTCTAGACATTTGTTAATGCTTTTAGAAATGCGTATTTCTTCCTTTAATTAGTCACTTTCCCCATTGCTATGGCAAATGCCAGCAAAAGCGACTTAAAACAGAGAGGGTTTATTTTGACTCATGATCCAAGGGTATCATGGTGATAAAGTCGTGGCTGCAGAGCATGGTCTGGCTGATCACATTGAGTCCTCCATTGGGAAGCAGAAAGGAATGAATGCAAATGCTCAACTTGTTTTTTTCCTTCTCAGGTCAGGACCTCAACCCATGGGAAGATGCCACCAATCTAGGGAAGGTCTTCCCACTTAGTTAAGACTAGAAACTCCCTCACGTATGTAACCAAAGACTTTCTCCTAGGGGACCATGCCTAGATCCTGTCAGGTTGGCAACGAATAGTAGCCATCATACTTCCCTACCTCACCGTTCAAAAGCAAAGTTGAGAGAGCTCAAAGGTCAGAACCTTGCCAGATGGTCACAACTTTCTACTTGGATCTTTTCATTTCTAGAGAAGGGGAGAGAGGGAGAGGGATGGGGAAGAAACTGGCTGGGTTTAGACAGGGGTTCTGGACCCTGAGTTTCTGGGCTCCCCTCTTAGCAAGGCTTATGGTTTGAAGCAAAATTTTGACATATCGTTGTGTATATCCTTTTGGTGATCCAAATTTTAAAAATTCCCAGATCAGTCAAATTATGGATGACTAGCTCAGAAACCTTGGAAAACAAGGAGTTAAAAAGCATATTGTCTGGCCAAATTTATTCTGACATGAGAGGAATTTGAATTCTGTTTGCAGCTCTCTCCACCTGGAGCTGCTGGGAGGCCAGCTGAATCAGGAGAAGAAAGCAGCAAGTTACCTAGGGAACTTCTGGAGAGAGAGAGAAGCAAATGGATTCTAACTTACAGAAATCCAGGTGCCACTTTCCTGAAGTAACTAAAGGCTCAAGATCTTAAAAACCTCAAGACCTTTGTAACATCACTGCTCTGTCCAGGGGACACTGAAAAAGTCGCACACACCACCACCACCACCACCACCACCACCACCACCACCACCACCACCACTAACACCACCAGCCCCAGCCTCAGCTGCCACAGTTGCTGCTGCTCCTGCTCCTAAGGCTGACCAGTTAAGAAATTAGGAACATAGTTTGGGATCAAGGAATTCTGAAGGCATGTTTGCTCTTGAACTTGTGAGCTTACAAATGGGAATGGGGAGTTACCATCTCAGAAAGTCGTAGGGTTGAGGCGAAGTAGGGACATAGAACACAAGGAATGCTCAAGCAAGGATGGGTGATACTTGCAATCCAAGCTGTTTTCCTCTGATTTGGTTTACTGGCTAGTGGAAAGAAATGTACGGATAAAATAACTTTTAATTGTTTATTATACATTAAAATGCTTTTGAAGTGCTTGGGGAATCCTCATTATTCGACTAACGGATTAATTTGTGTATATGTGATTGTGTGGTTAGGTACGTTGGGGGGTACGCATGTGTGTACAAGTGCATGTGACTGTGAATGCATGTGTATGTGGAAGCCAGGCAAGGATATTGGATGTCTTCCTCTATCTTTCTCCCTTCATTTTTTTTGTTTTGTTTTGTGCATTTTGAGACAGTGTCTCTTCACTGAACCTGAAGTTCATGTCTCTATCAGACTATCTGTCAAGCAGCCTCTGGGATCTACCTTTGTCTACACCCCAGTGTTAGGGTTACAGACACCCATGGCAGCTCCTGACTTTGATATGGGTGGTGGAGACCAAAATGCAGTCTCCACCCGTTTGTGTAGCAAGTGCTTCACCCACTAAGTCTTCTTCTCAGACCTCTCTTCCTCTCTAAATGTTGTTATTTCATTTAGAAAGCCATTTTTATACATTCATGTTTGATATACGTATGACCATGATGTGAGTGGTATTCATGTTTATCTACATATGTGTGGCATGACTGTGTTTGTCATGTATATGTCTGTAGTGTGTAAGAACGGTATTGTGGTAAATGTGTATGTTTACATATGGGTAGTGTCTGTGAACATGTGTGTGGAAGCATGGGTGGGAAGAGGAAGCACATATGACCAACCACTGGCCCCATGCTTCATGCATTAGCATCCTCTGGATATGTTATGTCTGTGCTGCTCTAACGTAAAGACAGTTCATGTCTAATCATTTACATGTTTTCAACTGTTCAAGAATGCCTCTCAGCAGCGATCTAGATCCTAGCAACCTGGGATATATCAAAGGCATTGCCTAGAGCTGTGAACGTCTCAAGAGACAGAGAAACACAGCCCCAACACATCCATTACACACACGTTAAGCTCTGCCTATAGAACATTGGTATCTAGGTGCCAGTCAGCAGTAGGCTGGATCTGAGCTAGGAGATTCATACAATACTGTGTTTTCAAGACATGCCTGCCTTCATCACTCAGTCTGAGAAGGCTTCACCTTGCAACACTGAGAAGCAATGTGTCCCTGTCTGCCCGGGCCCCACCCTCTGCTCAGAAGCTAGGATTTGACCCAGATTCAAAGACAACTGAGACCCAGAGTTTCATATTGCCTTGGACTCTAACAGAGGACATCTCCTTGCCGACTGTACCTGCTTTTCCCTGAATTCCATGCACACACATCACAGCATCATGGTGAGCCTTTGAAGATTGCACCTTCTAACAATCTGTTCAAGCTGATAAACTGTTGCACCCACATACACAAGCAAATGCCAGGCTTGTGCTACCTCCTGCACACCTCAGCTTGAACCTATCTGTCATGCACCCTACTGTTTAGGCTATCTCCTGCCCCTCCACACACCAAGCCCTCTCTGCTGTCTGGAGGAAGGACCAGGCTGCCTGCCATTCTGCTGTTGTTAAGTCCTGTCATCTGGGAGGAGCTGTTCTGGTTTTAAAACCAGGGCTGCTTGGCAGCCGAATAACCTTCACCAGGAACAATATTATCTCTTCAAATGTAGCGTGGCGCACTGGATGGCTGGCTCTCCAGAGCCCTCCTGACCCGCAGACAAGACAGTGTCATTACCAGTGATGCATACTATCCCAATGATGCCAAGCCATGAGAGGAAGCCGGGTGTACATAATAACCGATAGAAGATTCTGGCCTGCAAGGGAGCCAGCAGAGAAGTAGGAGACACATAAAGAAATCCACAAGCAAGGATGGCGTCTTAGGGATGATAGCAATATGCTCTCACTTAAGACCCGACCACCACCTTGTCTAACAATTCCTGAATGTTATCAGCCCAGATCATCAAACTTAACAAATTACAAATTACAGACTCATTTAGAAACTAAATACATAGCCACAGCTATGACAATATACAATTTTTTTTCTTCCTGTCCAAAATGTGGCTCCTTCATGCATT